TTAAATACACCATATATTAAAGTGCTTATAGTTTTAGAAACTATTGGGAAATTTTCTATAAAAATTAAAATAGCAAAATAAACTTTTTAAACAATTCATTATTTTTACTTTATTCGACAAATATCGTAAATATTTTTTTAAATTACGGTCATTTTTTTTTCTTTTTGTAGAAAATTAAAAATAATATTCATACTCTACATTATCTTATGTTCTATTCTATTTATGAATTAGGTTAGGAAGAGAGAGGAGAGAATATGAGGAGAAATAAGAGAAATGTATAAGGGGAGAGAAGGAATAGAAAGGAATCTAAAATGCTTATAAATAAATTAAAGAAATTGTCAAAAAAAAAAAGGGAAAAAAGTAAATAAATAAAATAATACATATCTATAGATATAAAATATATTGTATATCTATGCGCATATTGTTAATACTATATAATGGTATATTAGTTTTAAAAAATTATCTATAGTGATTAATAAGTAAAGCAACCCAATGTAATTGGGCAGCACCCTTTTATGAAAATAAAGTGATTCTCTCTCGATAAAAATCGAAAATATTTTTTTTAAATACCTGTAACATTTGTTTTTTCTATAAAGCAACAAAAGGCAAGTATTACATATTATTATGAATAATAACGCAGTGAAAAAAAAAGATCTCCGTACGAACGGCAACACTGATTGTAAGTGGACCAAGAAAAATAAAATAAATATCTCCCTCCTCTAATACATTGAATTTATATTATTTTCATTTTATAGCACCATTCTTTCAATGACTAGTAAACCGATATACCATAAAATATGTAAACAAAATAATTTTAAACATTTTGATATATAGTAAAAATATGTTTTAAATGTCAAAGTGGCTTTAGAAATACTAAAATACTTAAAAAAAAAAGTCTACCAGTGTAGAAATTACAATTACACTATAGGTTTAACATTAACCATCGTTAGAGATATTGCAATATTGATATTTTCCATTTCGTTATCACCCAATATCGTATCGAAACAAAGGATTCGATATTATCGTAATATCGACGGAAAAAAATGCCAGTATCGGATTTCGATTTTTTTTTTCCATCATATTTTAATATTTAAAAAAAATAAAATGAACGCATTAACGTATACCTGCTAATATTTTTTAAATCACTCAAATACAAACCCTTAGATATCTCCATATACTATAAAATGGAGTTAAATACTTTCAAAGTAAATATCTCATATCTACAGGTTATTGCAAAAAGCCATCAAGTACATTTTCATAAGACTGATTTTTTTTTTTGTTTATTTAATGAAATTTACAACTTTATATAAATACAACTAGTAAATATGCTCAAATTATAAATAGTGAAATGAACAGACTTGAAGAGATACTGCCCAGTGGTAGCACTCCCTATATAATTCTAGGTAAGAAGATCACGAGGCCATCTCCTTTTCAGTCGCCTAGGGGGATTATCAGAAATCGAGGAAGAAGCAAGGGTGGAAACAAGGGGATTTGGATGGGACTGGAGTTTATCACGAAATGATAGATATCTGGCTAGGGCTAGATCAGCGTAACTTAATTTTTAAAGAATGTTTTTATGAATTTTTCCTAATGTATGAATAAAAAGGTGTACTACAATAACACAGACCCTTTTATTTATCAAATATAGTTGCAACAAGCGCAAAATTTTATAATTTTACTAAACGAAAATTCATTCAAATTCCTGGTGATTTAAGGTTATGAAAAGTCACTTACTTTTTGCAATAAATTGACGATATATTTGTTAAGAATCTCGAAAATTTCATTTTAATATCAATATTTTTGATTAGATATTATACTAATATTGATACAAAAAACCAATTCCAACCAGTTCTCAGATACCCCTTTATTTCTAGGTAGCTCAAATAATTTTTTTTTTTTTTTGTTTTCCAGACGCCTCCGCGATGTAGCTCCAATACCGGGAGATGTGACCAGAGCTACAAAGGAGAATACAGCGACCAGTGACCGGCGGGGTCGACGACATGGAGTAAAGCTGGGGATGTTTACACCTAGCCACCTAGCCACCTAGCCGCAGCTGGGCTTGCACCACCTGTGCACCTATATGTCCCTTCCTCTTAGCTCCTTTACAACTTCCTTCACTTCTAGTCAGCTCCTTTATTACATGCTCTTTCAAAACATTAGATAAAATGCAATGTGTTCATCTTCGAGCTCACAGATCTCGGAAGCAGTGGCGTTGCATAGGTTTTGCCACCCGAAGCAGAAAGTAATCTAACAAATTTTTGAGTGAAAGTCTGGACCAACTATTGAGTTTTATGGCTTATATTATGCATTGAAGTTTCATGAGCGAATTGGAATAATTCGAGCTCAAAATACTAATAAATTATTCTGTAAAGCGTGTTTATTCTGTCTCTTAAAATGCATGTAACGAATTTTAGAGCGAACGGCTCGACCTATGTTTAAGTTTGATGGTTCAAATTATTTGGTGAGATCCAATGATTGTCTTAAAACAATTTGAGCTCAAAACACTGAAAAAATTTGTTTTTCTCCTTTTCGCAATCCTGCCTCATTACAACGATCCTTTATTGTCCATTCCACCACTTTGTGGAATTCCATATATATATATATATATATATATATATATATATATATATATATATAGAGAGAGAGAGAGAGAGAGAGAGAGAGAGAAAGAATCTGTTATCGCTTTGATTATATTAAGTCCTTCCATCAATATATGTCTTTCCACCTACGGTTTTCTGATTCAATGGATTGTATAGAAAATTTTATTAAGATTATTATTCCGACAGAAATAGACCAACGTATAACTAGGGCAAAAAGAGCTTTCTTCTCTCTTTCAAAGGTATTGAAATCCCGAAAAATCTCAAGAAATCTTAAATCAAGAATGTACAATGCCATGATAAAGCCAGTTCTGATATATGGCTGTGAGACCTGAACACTAACCTTCAAGCTAGAAAAAAGTTTTGAGAGGAAAATCCACCGCACGATAACCGGAGCGATCTGGGATCAGGGTACTAACACACGGAGAAGAAATACCGATAAAGAAATGCTTACAGAAACTGGTCAATCAATATCCCAGGATATGGAGGCACGGAGGTTAAGATGGACGGATTATGTAGTTCTCAGCAATCCATCTGGAAGCCTCTACGTAACAATGAATGCCTCAATAGAAGGCAAAAGACCACGTAGAAGGTCAAGAAGCAGATGGATAGATAGAATCAACAAATGCAACGTGAGGTGCGTGCAGATAAATGGAAAGAAATAGCCCAAGAATGGCAGAGATGGAGCAGGCTTGTTAAAGGTACTATTTCGCTGGCGCGGTCCACGACCGCGACTGCTGGCGGTTGACCACTGCTTTAGTGGAATAGAAAGGAACCTATTTCGCTGGCGCTGCTCGGCAGTTTAGGTATGACGTCATATCTAAGCTGCTCGTATCTGACTCCTCTTGAAGCAGTGGAGCTGTTGGCGGTTCGGCGGTTGTAGGTTATGTTATCATATCAGAGCATTGTTTTGATGATAACAGTCCCGTCGATACGTTTTATTTCCTATGTTTCTTTCAAGTCTGGCAAAATTATAACAAATATTGTTTAAAACTGAAATAATGCAATAGTAAATTATTTTTTTGAGGTTGAAGTAACAAGATTATTTATTTATTTATTCCACCAGCAATATTTTACAGCGAAATACAAATATACCTAAATCCAAACGATATTAAATAAATTAAAGAATCCAATAAATTTTATCGTCAGGTAAATACTAAGATCCACCCATTGAAAAAACGATTTGTATTTTTTAATTAAAGTGGTGATTTACTGATTACTATTGATAAAACTACAAAAACATCGCTTGCTGAGATTTAATTACAAATATATGATATTTATTACTAACCAATTATGTATTAATTACTATTACTTTTCAAACTAATAATATGTAATATCAGAGGAACTTTGATGATGAGCATCACATCGAAATACTGATATTCCTTCTCTTTATGAACAACATTTTCTCTTCTTTTTCCAACTCAAATAAAAAAGCGGTAGTTAGAGATGTTCATTATTATAGGAAGTTCATTTTTATTCTTATATTATGTCTATCTTTTTATCTTCAAAGATACAGCGAAATGTTCGAAGGTTATAGGCAGGTTATAACAACCCCAGGGAGCAGTTTCAGCGAAATAGGTACGCCAACAGCGGTTGGCAGGGGGAAATAGCAGTCGCTGTCGTCGACCGCGCCAGCCAAATAGTACCTTAAGGTGGCAAAAGATCTACATAGTCTGTAATACCAACAGAAAAAAAAATATATATATATGTGTGTGTGTGTATATCAGTTTTGTTTTCAATCTATCTTTGTGTATATATATTATTATCCTTTTTTAAACGTTTTAAGCAAGATATGTAATTTTTTTTTTCTCTTTAAGATCTGTTTCTTTTAAAAATAAATTAAAAACCTACTCTTAAGAAATAAAAGCTACTAAAAAAAAAAAAATCTACACATAAAACGCCTATTATTACACCTGTCCTTGAGCAATCTATCTTTAAAGTTGCATATGTGATTTAAACTATCAATAATTCATAAATAAATCATTTATTTATTTGTTAAATCCAAATTTCGAGCAATGAATAATCCAATTTTCTAAAAATCCTTCTTTATGAGTCAAAATGGGGTTAGGTCGACACTGGAGCTTTTTTGTACTTCATGTTATTTCGAAAATTGTTGAAATATAATTTTAAATTTGTTAGTAGAAAAGTTTTTGAAAATGTGAATGACCTAGAAAACAAACGTTGTGCAACGGTTAGAAACTCCTCGGTATCAGGACAAACTCTTTGTTTACGAAGAAAATAAGAGTGGCGACCGTCCTCCTGTTTGCTCGGCAAACGTCAATCTTCGAACGACTCCGAGATCTCTGAGTTCTGTGAGCTGATGTGGAGGGCGGAGGACTGGCGTCAGATCGGAATGATGGTTTAGGGTCTTCGACCAGCTGATAATGACCTTATCAGGTGAAAATGACTCCCCCCAAACCGGTGCTAACGTCCTGTTATCAGAGGCGTCCGGATCTTAGGGGCCTCTGTATTTCCATACGGTTATCGCCCTCTTCTTGTCAGTTGGGAGCTCATAAAATAATAGTCAACATGAGGCGCTATCGCTTTAAAAAACTTGTCTACTGTAAGTAAAGGACGGATTTATATAACAAACAGTTTCGAAATATACTGTCTATATTTGTTTTTTCTCTTGCACAGTAACCCTGCACAAGAAGAGTTTATTTGCAAAATTGTTATGAATGTTCAGTTTAAGCTACAATCCTTGCTTAAAGATAGAATGGCATTTATTGATTTTATATAGTAGTTTGTTTTGTACAAGATTTTCTATAAATATGTTTGTTATCGAACATAGAGAGAGAGGAAAAGAGAGGGCTAATATAGTAAATGTAAAAACATTTTTGTTTTTTTTATTATTATTGAAATTCAGAACTGTATTAAATGATAAATACAACAAGTAAATATGAACAAGTAACATGAAATTTACAACATGAAGAGAAACTACCCATTAGTACACTCCATAAATAAAAAAAAAAATAACAATCCGTTTAAATATACATAATATTATATTATAATAATTAAAAGTTTTAAAGTATTACATTGGACAAATAAACATTCATCTTAATTATAGTAAATGATTTTTTTTTTGTGAATAAAAAGTGTATTTATAAATTTATTTTTATTATAATACATCACAGGTCATGTAAAAAAAAAAAGAAATTAAAGCTTCGCAATAATTTACTGTAGTAATTTCATAAGTACTTCAGAAAACAGAAGTACTTTTAAATAACATGAAATCAAATTACCTTATTTTTTAAACACCTTGAGGAGAATCTCAACTGATATCTTAATGAAGCCCAACTTAATTGGTATAAATTAAAAGGTTATTAAACAATGAAGTGTTTATAAAAGTTAGGTATCTGTAGTACAGTTAGAGATTGGTAAAAAAAAAAAAGTCACGGATAATCATGATTTTTATTTTTTTTATGCAGAACTTAAGTTTTATTATTCCGCTGAAAAGTGTTCCTTAATTGGTTTTAACAATGACAAGCTCTACTTTCATTTCATATATATATATATATATATATATATATATATATTTTTTTTTTTTTTTTTTTTTTTTTTTTTCCCTACGTGGTAACCCCACACAAGGATCGTTTATTTGATTTTCCTTCATGCTCCATGCCTTAAAGACATACTACATGAATTACATTTGTTTACAATTGTTTTTTTTTCTAGTTTCACATGATTTACATTTTTAGTTCAAATTTATATACATTAACAAAAAAAAAACACAAAGAATAAACACACAAAAATTAAATCGGAAAATTAAATATTAAACACACAAAGTCAATCCAACAAAGCCAAAAAGAAATCACCCACGCTGCCCATCCCTGGTTAGTAAGTCGAAGTCGATCGATCTAATAAATCTAAGAAAGTCTGTCTTGAATTCAGTAAATAACTTTTGTTCCGTCTCAGGCCAATTTCCTCTTTTGATAATTATGCTTTTTATTAACTCAAATCGCTGTCTGTCAAATCGTTTACATTCATATATTATATGTTTAAAATTTTGAACCTGTCCGTCTTCATCACATAAGTCTGTTTGTATAATGTTGAATCTTTTAAGATATTGTTTTGTATTCCCATGTTCCGTAAGTACTTGCGTAAGTTTGTAGTCATTACTGTGAATGTGTCTGTAATTGTGAATTGAAATGTGTGGTATAAATCTGTGTAAGCTTGGTGACTTAGCTGAGGTCACCCATATGTGATCCCATCTTTTGATGAAATCCAACTTTAAATTCATATTAATATACGATAAAGGAGCTTGATGATACGATGGCGGCAAATCGCTTTTAGCTGCTTCTTTTGCAAGGCAATCGGCTCGTTCATTGCCCTCAATCCCACAATGTGCTTTTACCCATTTTAGAGTCACTACTTTCCCTACAGTTCTCATCATTAACAATTTGTTTCTAATTTGGTCAGTCAAGTAATCATGAATGTCCCAATTATTAACAGAGTCTAGCAGAACTTTGTTGTCTGTATTTATAGTAACGTGAGTATTCGTTTGTAGAGGGTATTCATATATGTATTCAGTAACCTTTAAAACAGCGAATTTTTCTGCCTGATTATTTGAGCAATATGATTCTAATTTATATTGATGTTCTATATTCCTACCATCTTGAGCTCTGAACAACCATGCACATCCAACATTCTCGCCGTCCTTACTACCATCAGTGAAAACATCAGTATTTTCAGAAGTAATTCCCGGTCCAGTCCATAAACTTGTTGCAGGGTGTAACCAAGATTTACAGTCAGTGATTCTTTCTATTTTGTCTAGGGTCAGGTCTTTGTATCCTCTCTTTCCTTTTCTAATGTTATATAAGGTCGTTCGTTCTTCAATCTTCATTTGGATTGGCAACAGCCCTGCCAATAATATTGTGGCCTCGAATGATAGTGTACGATAGCCCTTACATATCTTAATCGCAATTAACCTCTGAAGCCTTTCCAACTTCACCAAATTTTTCTTACGTTCAACGGCCGGATGCCAGACATGCACAGCGTAGAGCATCTTAGGAAGTACAGCAGCTTCATAAATTTCCTTTAACACTTTCGATCTGAGTCCCCATGTCGCTCTTGCAGCCACTGATAGTCCATTTATAATCCTTAAAGTGTTGTCATATAGATTATCTATATGTCTGTTCCAATTCAGTTTTCTGTCAAAGAGAAGCCCCAAATATGATAATGTATCACATTGCGTTATTCTTACTGTATTGAGTCGAATATCCAATTCTGGTACAATTCTCTTTTTTGTGAAGATTATATATTTTGTCTTGTCTAGATTAAATTTAAGTTTGTTGCGTCTAGTCCATCGTCTCAGCCTTGATAATGTTATGTTTGCTATTGTCTGTAATTCATCGAAATCTCTTCGTTTTATAAGTAATAATAAATCGTCTGCGTATGCTAATAATGTTGAATTTTCCTGTAGGTCTATTTCGAAAACAGTATTGATTAAGATGTTCCATAGTATAGGTGATAGTGCTGATCCTTGAGGAGTTCCTAGCGTCAATTTCTTGTCAATATAATGAAAGTTTGTTTGGATTGCAAGTTTTCTGTCAGAAAAATAATTTTGAATGATTTTGTATATGTTTTTTGGACACTTATATTTCTTTAGATTATTTAAAATCGCAGGCCACCAGGCGTTGTCAAAGGCACCCGCGATATCCAAAGAAACAACCAGTAAATTACTATTTTGCCGGAGTGTACTGGTGATATGGTCGTTCAATTCACTGAGTGCATCGTCAGTTCCTGATTGGGGTCTGAATCCAAATTGGTGTCGGTGGAGTATATTGTTACTAAGTAGATGATGCATTAATCTATTTTTTATTATTTTTTCAAAAATTCTACTCATTACAGGAAGCATACTTAGTGGTCTCAGTGAAAATGAATTAGCCTTAGGAATCAATGTTAATTTACCCACCTTCCAGCTTTTAGGAAATTCATTTCTTTTGAATAAGGTTTTATAAAGTCCAGTTATCAACTTTGGAAAGGAGCCAGCTATCTTTTTTATCATTCTTGGGTCAATTTTGTCTATTCCTGGTGCTTTCTTGTCATCCAATTTATTAATAACTTGTAATATTTCAAAATCCCGGATATTAGTGTCATCGTCATTATTAGGCGGGATAAGTATTTCTGTTCTCATTTGTCTGTGTTCGTTAGTGTCATCACTTGTATTGTCATCTTTGATTATCTTATTTAATATATGAGATAATGTATTCTTAGTGTCTGTTGTGTATGTTCCTAGTTCATTCAAAGTGGTAGTGAGTAAGGTTTGAGGTTTTATTTTATTGAATACAAACTTATATGGCCATTGCCACGCCTTTGATGCAGTAGCAAATGTCTTCCAGGACTTTAATTTGGAACTTTTCATTAGCTTTTGATATGCTTGCCTACTTTTGAGATAGATCACTCTCCTTGATTCCCTTAGTCCATCGTCTTTTGTCCGCTGGTAATTTCTTCTTAGATGATTTGTCTCTTTACGCAAGCCAGTTAGTTCAGGGTTCCACCAAGGTACTGATCTTTTTCTAGTTCGACCTTTGAAATGGCCGGATCTTTTGAATGCTATATTGCAAGATTTTACGATAGATTTTATCATTTTATTTATGATAATATCAGTAGGCATAAGAGAAAACTCATTAAGAATCAGCTTTTCGGTATCATAAACTGTCAATTTCTTCTTATCAGTACAATGTTGAGATAAAAACTGTTTTTCTAACTGATGTATTAAGTTAGCCAAGAATTTATTCCAGTCACCATTCTCTGTCAAATATATATAGTTTTTTGCTAGCACTCCAGTTTTATCATTTCCCTGTAAATGTAACTCATAAGTCAAAATGTTGTGGTCCGAAAAATTTGTTTCTCTAGAAATTGTCCAATTTTTTACAATATTATGTCTAATCAGTTTTGTATTAGATAATGTTAAATCAATATTACTACTGCCTCGCGGCCCTTGAAAAGTCATTAGTTCGGAATTTATATTCATTAAGAACAAATCTTTCTCAATAATAAAAGTTTCCATATTTTTACCCCTTTCGTTAGTTTGTTTGTCGAACCAATATTTAGATCTTGCATTGGAGTCCAATCCAATAATGATATTAGAATCTTTGAAATAATCCAAAACGCGTTCTATTTTTTGTAAATCCAAATTTATGTTTCGGGTGATATCAAAATAAGCACATATTATTATACATTTTAATTCACTGTATGATATTTCTATGCAAACAAAATCACAATCAGAATGTTGCAATATCATGCAGGCATCAATGTTTTTATTGGTCACAACGACTCCAGCCCTGGGATTGCTTCCTATTGTTTGAAAAACCCTTGACTGATTATAACCTACAATTTTATTTAATCTTGTATAAGGTTCTTGGATTAATAAAACGTCTATTTGTTTCATTTTTATATACTGTTGTAGCATGTTCAATGTGCATTTTGAATGATGTGTGTTGAGTTGTAACATGTTTAATTGTCTATGTACCATCCTTAAAAATTAATTGTTTACAGTCCCCAATAATATTTTGAAATATGTATATATTATGGTTATTATATATATATATATATATATATATATATATATATATATAGAGAGAGAGAGAGAGAGAGAGAGAGAGAGAGAGTGAGAGATGTGATGAGTGTGGGTGATATGAAAGGCTGTAAAACATTTCACAAAAATTCACATTTAATTTCCATAAAAATTTAAAAAGTAATAAAATATATTTAAAAAATTAAATATTTAAATAGGGTATTATTTCGGTTAATCTAAAAATGTCGCTAAACACAATTTTGATGTTGTATAAATTTATGTGAATTTCGGACGATATCGATGCACAATGAATGCATGAAAATGACACAAACTCTTTAATATAACAAAAATATTCAAACTAAATGTTCTGGTTTAACAGAGAAAAAATCATCTAAGTACTTAGTGATGTAATGTTTATAAAATGTTAATAGCTTTTTACAATAAACCCACAGTTTTGAACATTTATAATGTTGATACATATTTGTTAAAAGTTTTTATAAAAGAATATAAATCCATCAGTGAGTGGTAGCCATCTTGATTATGGAGGCGAAACACAATTTGGAACCTTGAAATCGAATGCGAAGGTCCTAGGCGCCAGCCTTGGCCCTAGCAAATCTTTTTTTTTTCTCTTAAATTAATTTGAGAGATAAAATGCTTGTTTAATCGACTATATTTGGAGATTTTCTCATTTTAAAATTACTATTTTTTTTTCTTGCCTCCAAAAATGAGACATAACTAGCAGGATCAAAACCAATATTAGACCTACTAGGCTCGACAAAATTGTTGGGAGTGGTACGTTTTTATGAGATTATGTATTTTGGAGAGAAACATATTTTTGTGGGGTGCAAATTTGTAAAACAAGGAACAATGGGAAAACCAAAATGAAATTATTATGTTTAATTCTAATTTTATTTTCACCGTTTTTAATTATGAAAGAGCAATCACATTTTCCTGGAACATGCTGATGGCGATTAATATCATATTTAGGTACTTGTGAGCGACGCAGGCTCTATGGACTGCTATCTGCAGTTAGTTTGATATTTAAAGTGTTGTTGTTGTTATTTATATTTCTTATTATTAAATGTTTATAACCTGAACACTGATAATTGTTATAAGGCACTGATAATCCCTATCTTCATATGAAATTAGACTCTCGTATAATAAGAAATATAAATATATTTGGTGTTGCCTTTTTTTTGCCTGTTTCTTACAGATATATATATTAATAAGAAATATAAATATAATAATAATATAGTAATTTAATAATAAGAAATATAAATAACAACAACAACACTTTAAATAACAAGATAATTGCAGATAGCAGTCCACAGAGGCCGCGTCGCTCACAAGTACCGAGAAAACTTAAAGAATAGAAGATGTAAAGCTCTTCTTCCATCAAGAAGTACCGAATTCCAACCCGATAGATATACTTGATTTAATTTTAAAGTATCACTATATACTATCGTCCACGCGACAGATTGTTATTATTCTAAATAAATAAATAAAAAATAAAATAAAAATTTTAAAATGTGCAGTATTTGATGCTCTACAACTTTTTATCTTAGAGAATTCATTTCCAAATTTCCAATTCATACTAATCCATGAATGAATTAGGCAGAAGATTAGCTATCTGATGTGAGAGTTCTCGCTGGGATTTACTAGTTAGAAACTAATAAATTAATTTTAAAAATTGTAATTAATATATGTTAACTGGTAACATGGGTAATTTAATATCCATTAATAACCTTTTAATTATTTAGTTACATTATTTAATAGAAAGAGATGGCGGTACACTAATGGCTTTGCAAATGGCGACCTCAGACATCACCTTCGGCGATGAGTCCTCTAGGGGGTTAGTGGGCCTTGGACCTAGTCGAATTTCGCCAAGGATATTAGTCACTTTCAAGAACACATCGCTCCATTCTCAACCTCACGTCTAATTTTAAACATTATAACACTCTTATTTTCTTCAAGCCCTCTCAGCAGTATCTGTGTTGGCAGTTATATGTTATACTTTTTATTAGTTAGATAATACGAGTCATAATAAACCTGGTCTGATAAAATCAGGAGGTTGCTGCCGGCAATATTAACTCTGCTCTACATTCAATATCAAAACCAAAATCTACAAGATCAGAATAAAAATTATTCTCCCAGAGGTTTCGGTCTATACTCAGGTTCAAATCTTGGTGAAACGCGAGTGAAAATTTTCTATTTTGAGCACAAACACAAAACTTCCATACCTTTGATTGTGAGGAATCTAAATCAAAAACTTCAAAATCAAATAAATACTTTGTGATATATTTTAAGATAGAAATTTTTTTTTATTATAGAAATTAATTAATATTGTTTAAAATAAAATAAAAGAATTATGAAACTGATGGAGGTGAAAAAGAACATTCTAGCAAACACTGAAGAAAACCGATTGGGCTGGTTTGGGCATGTTAAAAAAAATGTCACTAGAAACATCACCAAAGATAAGTAGAAAGAAATTACTAAAGGGATTGGAACTAGAAGGAAAAAGGGAGACTAAAGGTAAAAAGCTAAAGCATTGGATAGAGACAAATGTAAGAATATCTAAAAAGATATTTAGGTCAAGGAAAACCACGGCAATGCTAAATTCCTTATTATTTTTTTAAAAAAAAAGTCATTTAAATAATCATGTTGAATAAATTAACATTGAAGTAAATTCTTTGAGGAAGAACGAGAAAAACATATACAAAATATTTTTTTACATATTTCATAACGTAAAGTAATAAAGTTGTTTATTATATTAAATTTTATATTAATAGGGTTTTATACAAAACCTTCATTCTCGCAATTATGAGATAATAACAATCAGACTAACGTTTAGCCAAATCAGGCATCGTTAGGACTGGAAAATCACATAATGTTAACGTCAGTATAGATCTTAATTCCCATTCATCCCACCTAACACAGAATTATAAGGCAGGGACGGGAGAAATTAAACGGTCCAGACAGAGTGTATAACAAGCAGATGACAATATTAAAACAGTCGAATAACCTACTCAAGTGCAAAAAAAAAATTAAAAAAATATTCATTAAAAATACCAAGATGTTCATGTGTGCTATTTGTCTTAGATGAAGTATTTTAATAATATAAAACAGAACTTAAAAAATAGAATCAACCAACATAAAAGCAATTGCAATTCTAAAATGTAACATCTGCACTGGACTATCGACACACAGCACCCAACAGAAAAACAATTTTAACTTTGAAGAGAAGAATAGTTGGGGTGCTCAGTCAAAAAAGGAAGGCAAAAAATAAATTATAATATTTATTTTTTACATATGCCGACGTTTCGACCTAAAGTTCAGGCCATCATCAGGGCTAAGAAAATAACCAGATAACAAGGTATGAGAAACTTAAGTAATGATGGTAAAAAAGATAATAAAAAATGAGAAAATAAAATAGATTAGATCTAGATAAAATAGATCTAAATAAAAGAAAAATAAAATAGATAGATATAAAGTAAAATGAAATTGTTAGAATAATGACTAAGAACTAAGAGATAAATAATACAGACTGTTACATAGTGTGGAATGATGAAGTAGGCATAATCATAATCATCATGTCATTATTCTAACAATTTCATTTTACTTTATATCTATCTATTTTATTTTTCTTTTATTTAGATCTATTTTATCTAGATCTAATCTATTTTATTTTCTCATTTTTTATTATCTTTTTTACCATCATTACTTAAGTTTCTCATACCTTGTTATCTGGTTATTTTCTTAGCCCTGATGATGGCCTGAACTTCAGGTCGAAACGTCGGCATATGTAAAAAATAAATATTATAATTTATTTTTTGCCTTCCTTTTTTGACTGAGCACCCCAACTATTCTTCTCTTCATTATCCACGACAGTCAACCAATTACCAATTATGAATTTTAACTTTGATAACACTAAAATATTAATGAGTGAAAAAATGGCTTCAAACGAAAAGTTCTAGAATAAATTTACATCTCCCAAAATCTAGACGCAGTACGTAATTTTCGGGTTGATACAAAAGAACTAACCAGCACGTATGCTAGTATAATTATAAAATTGAAATTTTAATTACTCAAACGTTTTAATAACAACCCTTGCTGTTACCCTCAATGGGTGAACAATATAACGTCCATTCTTGCTAAAACGTTATTCTATAAAAAATTAAAGAAGATTATAGTCCGTGGTACAGACCTCATTTTATCGAATTACTAACATCCGCCTGAAACTTCGTAAAGAGTAACATCTCATCGTAAGCGACAACTATTTTATTTACGAAAACTCTTGGAACTAGGGCGTTCTCAATCTGGAGGGTGGCCAAACTTTGTCAATTTAATTAGGCACTAAAAACTCGTAAATACCCATTTGCTTTCTACTTGGATCGTAAGATAATTTGATCACAAAATCTAGGAAAAAAGGTGCCCTTCAAAAATATTAAGCCTTTTGGCGTGACGTACACATCCAAATTTTCAAAATAACGTAGAATAAGACAAACGGTTATATATGACAAGCGGCCTAATATTTTGTTGGCCGCCTTTTTTATCGATTTTTTTATCAAATTATATTACTATCCAAGTAGAAAGCAAATGGGTATTTACGAGTTTTTAGTACTTAATTAAATAGACAAAGTTTGCCCTCCTCCAGATTGAAAACCTCCCAATTCCATGAGTTTTCGAAAATAAAATAGTTGTAGGTTACGATGCGATGAAACTATTTACGAAGTTTCAATTCGATAAAAAGGGGGTCTGTACCACGGACTATTAAACCCGGCGTAGAATGAGTACCACAAATTAATAATTCAAGTCCAGTATGATCGAAAATCATGGTCTACAAGCGACGATTTTTACTACATTTTTAAAAACGGAGATGTAGTACTATCGATGTATATTCTATAATATAGATTACAAAGTTATTCTATAAAACATTAAAGAAGATTGAATCCGGCGTAGAATGAGTACCACAAATTAATAATTCAAGTCCAGTACGGTTGAAAATCATGGTTTAAAAGCGGCGATTTTAACTATATTTTAAAAACTGAGATATAGTACTATCTATGTATGTTCTATAATATAGATTACAAAGTTATTCTATAAACAATTAAAGAAGATTGAATCCGGCGTAGAATGAGTACCACAAATTAATAATACAAGTTCAGTGTGACTTTTGCTATCTTTCTAAAAAACTGAAACATAGAAACTGAAATATACTATCAATATTAAAATGTCCGAAAATAACCTGATTATATGTTTCATAATGAATATGGATAGACAAAATATGGGTCAATTTTATGAAGAAAAATTCTAATGAATGAAAGGAGTTTGGTCACTCCACACTTTCTCTTCAACGAGCCCCGCAAAACCAACAGCCTCAATTGCTCAAATCATATTGGACTGGCTCTTCATTTTTATTAAAGTTTAAAATATATTTATTTTAATAAAAATACAAGTTTTATCGATCACAATTTTCCTTTATTTTGTAAAATGTATTTTATATGTACGTTTTGGCGATTGGCCATCATCAGCATATCTGAAAAAATGCTCATTTATATATATACGCTTAACTGTATAATCTCTAATTATTTTGTAAAATATTCTATTTAAATAATTTATAATAAATACCTACTATTCCTATCATCACAATGTCTTTTTCTTGAAAAAAATTTTAACTTTGTTATCGTCTATTTTCCATGTCATCCAATAGTCAATGGTCACTTTATTTAAAAGACAAATTGTATTTAAATTACATATAAAATTTATCATAATACTTTTAAAATATCTAAATAATAAATTAATGGATTCAAAAACACTCAATTCACTTTTTAAAAAAATTAAACAATTAAAACATGTTGTTTTATAACCTATTTCAATATGAACTATTATTACATTATATTAAATTTTTTTCCGTCTAATTTATTAATTTTCATGTTTTGTTTTAACAGACATAATTTAATTAAGTGATCTATGTCTATTAATTTTACCGTTTTTTATTTTTTAAATATATTATAACTTATTAAAATCCCATCCATTCTATTCATAAAAGAATATATTTATTGTTAGTTGATGAAAAATTGATCTTCCTCACTTGAATGAATTTTTATTTTATAATAACTGAGAACAGATAAGAATAAATTTTACTTTTAAAAAACTTATATCATTATTGTAACATAGCTTTTTAACTTCAAACTTTCTTACATAAGACCACGCCAATCATAAAGCATTAAGTGTGTCTAATTGTAATTTTTAAGGATTTTTATGATGATTTTAAATCTTTTTGGTATGAGTAGGTTTATTTTAGGTTTAATCATTGATTGCGAAAATACTGGGTGTTAGAAACTTTCTAATTCGTCCAACGCTAAGATAGTATGTTAGTTTTTTTTAATAAAATTACTTCAAATTCTTATATAACGTCGCCTATTGTTTTGTTTTTTTAAATGCCCTCTAACCAATTTAGTTAATATCCGTGTTTTTATTTGCTTTGCGAATTATTCGCACGGGACAACTAGTAATCTTCTTTTTCTAAATTTTGTATAATACGTTTGTTGAAGCTTTCAAGTTGGACAAAAGATGTGCCTAAAAAATTAAAAAAAAAACAAAACATTATTAGTAGATTTTTGTTTCATTTCATCTTTTCCAAATCAAATTATTATCTTAATAAATGTTAATCAATATACAAAATATAATATTAATAAACATTTGGTTTGTTATTAATAATTATTAATTATGTTAAATCTGATCCATGAAATATATTTTGTTAAACTCTGGTAGAACAATACTTATTAAATTGTCTCTTAAACTTATGACAAGCTTATTGAGAGTTATTAGGGGTTATTAAGTTAAGTTATTAGTGGATTTTTATTTCATTTCATCTTTTCCAAATCAAATAATTATATTAATAAATAAAATAAATATTTGGTCTGCAAACAGTGTTATT